AGATGATCGTATCGAAAGATTGCTGAGGAGATCGCACGGAAGAGGAAGGAAGGATTGAGGGCACATGAGGCTGGGGTTGCGTGTCCTCATTTAGGAGCGATTCCTTTGGCCGGAGTAGGTGGCGGAGGTGGGATAGAAACTATGGAGGCAACAGCGATGACGGGGCTCGTCACCAACTCGGCACTCCCTGCAAGGAGGAGCGCCTTCTCTCCCTCGTCCGTGGCAGCTGGAGTAGACCGACAGAAAAAGACTGCAGCTTGTGCCAGACATGCGAAACTCCAGCATACATCTGCCGCAGGGAGAGTGGTCGGCCATAGTTACCTCTCCTATCGCGTCGCTGTGCTTCCTTCGATCGACACGTCAGCCTCGTTATCTCGCGCAGATGCTGACGGCAAGCGCTTCTTTCACGGAGATGAGCGCATTGAGTCCCGCCGAGATGAGCGGTCACAGATCGACTCCCGGCGAGATTCCAGAAGACCGACTCTCCATGACCGAAGCTTGAGGATTCAGGCGACATTGTCGACACCCTCAACCACATCGTCTGTCCAAGGCATCGACCGCACCGTTGGCACGAAGAGCGCCACCATTCGCATCACCACGGGAAACAACTTGAACGATGGCATGCTCGGCAAGGCGAGGATCGTGATCATCGGAGACGGTAAGGAGGATGAAGATGGCCCTCGTGCTCCACCTTCATCGACTGGAACAAGCTGGTTCGGCACCTCTATTGATGGATACGATCTTGGTTTCCAGCTATGGAAGAGCGGCAGCACGATGTCCGTGACGATCAACGATCTTCCAAGGAATGTCAATCCGACGGTCATCCTTCTTTACAACGACTCACCGCAAGACAAGTGGTTTGTGAGGAAGGTGGAGGTGGAGACGGAAGCGTACACCGCAGACGGAGGAGGCAACAACGGCAAGCTGACAAGCTATGTGTTCCCGTGCCACTCCTTCGTGGTCAGTGGGAACAAGCCCCGCACCTTTTTCCTAGGCAACTCTCTTCTCCCTTCCCAAACTCCTCCAATGCTTGCCAGTCTGTATCGCGAAGGAGCTCTAGATGATCAGATGATTACCTATCAATTCGAGGAGTACAATGATCTGAGTCTTCCCAAGGAGCTTGCTGATCGATCCAACCCCTTCTTTAGACCCCGGCTCCGTCCTTATCCCAAGCGCCAAGCAGATAGACCAGGCGGAGTTCCTGTTGACGACAACTTCGACTTGTCCAAGAATTACGACTTCCTTGGCGCTGGATCAGCTGCGATAGCAAAGTCCGCCATAGCTGATCCGCTTGCGATCTCCACCAACACTCAGTGGAGAACGGTAGGTGGTCTTACCGCGGCGTTGTTTGGTGGTCCCGGAGGGTTTAAGGTGCCTGCAGTCTTGAAGAGCGGTGTGGACTGGAAGTCTGACAAGGAGTTTGGTAGGCAGACGGTCGCTGGGCTAGATCCGATGGAGATAAGGTCGATCGAAGCTTTGCCAGAGGACTTCAGTGTGACGGAGGCCGAGCTGGGTAGCGCTCTTCCCTCGGGGCTCAGCCTCGCTGGAGCGCTGAAAGCCAAACGTGTCTTCATGACAGACTTCTCTTTCCTGGAGCCGTTCATGCAGTACGTGAACCGGCCTCCGTCTTTGTTACGATCGTCCCGGCACCTGTATGCGCCTCGCTGCTTGTTCCTCCGGGACGACAACGACGACTTGGTCGCCATAGCCGTGCAGTTGGAGAGGGGAGGGAACGTGTACACGCGTGCCAAGGACAAGAGCAGTGGGAAGTGGCAGTGGACGCTGGCCAAGGCCTACGTGGCCTCCGCCGAGAGCGGCACTCATCAGGTCGGTAGACACTTCCTCGAGTGCCACGCTGTCTGCGAGGTGTACCTCATTGCCCTGCGACGGCGGATCTCCGAGTGGCATCCCCTCTTTAAGCTCCTCATTCCTCACTTTCGCTTCACCATGACCATCAACTTTTTGGCGCGAAGGTTGCTGATTAACGCGGGAACCATCATCGAGACGACCTTCACGCTGGGGTCTAAGGCCATGGAGGCCTCGGCAGAGATGTTCAAGTCCTGGAGGTTCAAAGATCAAGCTTTGCCAGAGAACCTGAAGAAGAGAGGGGTCTACGACAAGTCCGTGCTACCTTACTACCCCTATCGAGACACGGGGATGCTGATATGGAACGCCATGCACAAGTACGCTCTGGGGTACTTGAAGATCTATTATGGCCAAGGGGAAGACGCCAAGCAGGCCATAGCCAACGACAAGGAGCTTGAGCGATGGTGGGCGGATGTGAAGTTCGGTCTGTCGAAGTCGGAGTCTACTGTGAGCGAGGAGGAGGATTGGCCAGCTATGGAGACCCTGGAGGACTTAGCCTTCATTTGCACGACCATCATGTGGACCACCAGTGCTCAGCACGCCGCCATTAACTTCAGCCAGTACGACTACTCGGCCTTCGCACCCAACAGGCCATCCGAGATGAGAAAGCCGATGCCTGCTTCGGTCGACGAGAAAGCGTTTATGAGTGTGATGCCCCTTCCACGGGATCAAGTCATGGTCATGTCCACTGTGGACCTGTTGTCACGGTACAGCGAAGACGAAGAATACATCGGGAGACTGGATCAGACAGCCTACGATTGGCTGGTCGATCCTGCGGCTCGGGAGGTGTACAAAGAGTTCAGTGCCGATCTAGATGAAGCGGAGAAGATTATCGACCAGATGAACGAAGAGGACAAAGCCAAGGGACGACTGCCGTACAAGTATCTGTTCCCACGTACAAATCGTGCCGAATTTGGATCTCGATCAGACACGCCCTTTGGCACAGAAGGCATTACCAATAGCATCTCCATCTGAAAGCAAGAGGATTTGTCGTTTCCTCGCTCTTTGCGCCTTTCCTGACCCTGTCTAGACCTTTTGTACTAGACAACGTTTGGTGTTTTCGATAGAAAAGCTCCAATCTATTGGTGGGGAGCGTCACCTGTTGTAGGCAGCCTGGTTTAGGGGCAAGCCCCACTGAGTTTTCTCTCTCTCTCTCTCTCTCGCTTTCTCTCTCTCTCTCTCTCTCTCTCTCTCTCCTGTCTCTTATACACATCTAGATGTGTATAAGAGACAGGTGTTTCAACAGTTCATGGGTGTGGTCCCCACTGAGCT